GGGGTCTACCCAGATACAAGAAGGTTTTGATGGGACAAGGAGGAACGCACAAACCTACGGGCTGATAATTACAAAGATGGAAGAGCTGGGCTTTGGTAATGTTTTCATAACAAAATTAGCGAGTGACCTAACTACCCACTGAATTTACAAAGCATGAACGAGGGTTGGTCGTAGGGCTGCAGGCGACTCGCTGGCTTCATACCCGTTAAATGTGAAGGCGAGTTGTGTATGAACGCAGGCTTTGTAATCAATTTTTGTAAAGAAACTCAGAGTTACAAAAGGAAGGAGTCGACCTTTATATCAAGATGCATGCGGATGGAGAATTGGTCTTTAAAATCAATCAGAATATCATTGATGTTATGTTTATTGTAGAAACATGTTTCAAACAGGATGAACATGCAAAAGTTGGGAAATGCACTCAAATTGCTTTTACTTTCATAAATGCTTCTCGCGCAAATAACCAAGATGGCGGAGGAGTTTCTATTTTCTTTCGATCTATGCTTCATCTTACTACTAGAGAAGATGTGTTATAGCCCCATCATTTGAAATTCTCAGTGTTACTGACCCCAAAAAAGGAATTCACTTTGAACATGGAGGTATAAAAATAAAAGGAGAAACAACCAACCTAAATCCTATTAACTCAATGGCTTTCTGTGTGATATACTCTAACTTGCTCAATCCTGATTGGCTGCCTAAAATGAATTCAAAAAGGCCGCTCTTGCATACCTACCAAGTCTCCCGCATTTGGCGGGAGATTCCCGCTTTTCGCCCTAACCTCCAGCTCTCCCGCCACTAGCTTAAAATCTCCAGCTTTTCTAATAATCTCAAGATTTTTTATTAAAACCCACAATTTAATACAAAAATATCCAAAACGTGACAATTCTGTAGTTTTATAAGGCATATAAAATCTACAAAAGTTCTATCGCTTCGCGAAAATACATGCCGTTCCGATAGTAAACAATGTATTCGTGTAAAATTAACATTGGTGGCGCTGTACACATTACGTCATTTCTATTTTAACTTTACGACCGCGATCATGCATATCAATACTTTCAGCGAACCAGAATCCACGATGGTTTTACCGGCAAAAATAGGGTCTTGGCTACGCTTATCATCATCGATGCATCATCCAAATCCAAAATGTCGGACAGTGATGTTTCAAGCAGCAATGAGGCGGCCGCACCTGGTTCATCAAAGACAAATGCAAAAATGATATGCCAAAAAAAAGTACAAAACCAAATTTAATAAGCAGTGGTGCAAAAAATGGCCATTCATCTCAGCTGTTAGTCACAATGACTACAGTTTTCGATGTAACGTATGCGGAACAGAGTATAGTTGCCAACACCAAGGGGAAGGAGATGTAAAACGGCATATCTCTCGCGATGCACATAAGAGAAATGCACAAGCCAGAATGGGTCAGAAAACAATGAGATCAATGTTTGGGGCAGATCAACCATTGGTTGAAAAGGTAATACTAATAAATTAATTATTGAATTTTAATTATATAGGCCCAGGGCTAGACCTACTTTTTATTTTGTTATATATTACAATCACTAGTGCTAGAGAGAGTGCAATAAGTGTTTTTTTTCAAACAGGTACACTATAGTATATAGCTCAGCCTATAGAAGCCGGACCATTTTACATTACATAAACAGAAATCCAGTAGAATTAGGCTACTTCGTCTTCGACTTCGGTGTGTATTTTACTATCTAAGGTGACCGACCTTAGGTTTGGCACTGGCTTACTTACCCTTACACCACCCTAGCCATAAGTATAGGACCTAGTTTGAATAAACTTATTTTTGATACAATTGATAGTCAAATTAAATAATAATACAGTTGAGAAAATATTATTTTATTAATTAATACTGAATTTTACAACTTCGTACTCCGTACTGTTAATTAGTATTACATAGGTAGTGTATATAGTCATATTTAAATAATCAGCTGATGATGTAAATGTAGAGATTTTCATCTTCATTAAAATTTCTTTATAAACAATTATCAGGGTTTGATATTTTGTTTACTACTTTCACTTTCTTTCAGGTCACTCATGCTGAAGTGAAAGTAGCCACCTCTTGCAATATCAGACGAGCTTACTCCCTTATTTTATGATATATTTCCTGATAGTGAAATAGCAAAAAGATTTTCATCTAGAAGAACCAAAACAGCTTGCATGATAAATGGTGCAATTGCTCCTCACTACAAGGCATCACTAATTGACATCATGAAAAATGGGCCATTTTCTGTCTCCACTGATGGGTCGAGTGACACAGGGGTCGAAAAAATGAATCCAATGACTGTTGGGATCTTTGATGTCAACCGCGGATGTGTCACAACGCAGTTTTTGGATATGTGCATGTCATCTCGATCCACTGCTGAAGCACTGTTTAATACAATGGATGAGGTACTAAAAACACATTCACTGTCATGGAAGAACTGTGTTGGAATAGGTCTTGACAACACTTCGGTAAATATGGGATGTAGAAATTCCATAAAGACGAGACTTTTAAAAGAGAATGACGCTGCTTATGTGATGGGATGCCCATGTCATATTATTCATAATACGGCTGGAAAGGCAGGAGAGGCTTTTCATAGGGTATGTGCATATGTTGAAAATATATAAAAATAAATAATAAGAAGTATTCTATCATTTTATAAGGTATGTGCATTTTATTTAATAAGCTTTTAAAGAATTATTAAAATGTATAAAACTAAATAATATGAAGTATTCTATCATTGAACAGGTTACAGGCTTCAGTGTTGATGATATGTTGGTCGACATTTTTTATTGGTTTGATAAAGCACCAAACGGAAAGCATCTCTACAGGAATATTGCGAGTTTTGTGATACCAGCTATCGAACTGTAATAAAACATGTGAACACTAGATGGCTTAGTTTGGAGAGAGCAGTCAGTCGTACACTCCAACAATATGCAGCACTTAGGAGCTACTTTCAGTCAGAACGTAAGTTTCTCACAATTTCACTTACAACTGAAAAAAAAAATCTAATGATTATCCATGCATATTAACATTACAATGAAATTGCCTGCACAACCATCATCTAAATAATATGATTTTCTTTTTTGTTTTCTATAGATGATAGTAACCCTCGTTTTCAACGACTCAAGAAACTGTTTACTGATCCCATGACAGAGGTGTATCTTTATTTTTACCAGTCATCACTTCAAATATTCATAAATTTTAACAAGTTCTTACAAAGGGAGGATCCCATTATTGGACTTATTACTCAGCAAATTGAATCGTTCTTGAAAAAACTTGCAGGGAAATTTGTATCAATACAGGCAATCCAGGCATCAAAACCTGACATAACCAATCTTGAGTATGATATCGCCCATCAGCTTTCGGGTAATAGTAATTACTGTACAGTACTGACAATTTTAAATAACATGACAGGGGCGGATCCAGAGATGTCCAAAAGGGGGGCCGAAATTTGGGCCGATCGAGACAACAATGACCTAGGGGGTCCGGGGGCATGCCCCCACGAAATGTTTGTGTTCTAGACGCCCGAAAATAACATTTGAGGCGTTGTGGGCTATCATTTTTTTCTTTTTCTTTCTTTTTTTCTTTTTTTCCCTTTTTTTACCTCCCAAAAAAGGGGGGCCGGTGCCGGGCCGCCCCCAAGACGATTGGTAATTTTCTGTTAATATATTATGTTCTTTTTATTTCAAGATGACAATTTGTTCACTGGCATGGTCACCAAAACGCACTTAAGACAACTACTTGATAGTGATGTAAGTCCTTCACAAGAATTCAAAGTACTACAAGGGTGTAAGGGCATTCTATGAAACCGCCTGGCAGTATGCGCTGACCAACCTGCCTATTAAAGATGATGTATTAAGCAATGCTAAATTCACCAATGTGCTAACAAGAGAAAATGCACTTTTCAGCCAAGTGGAATATTTTGTGAATCGGTAAATATAATTTGTATATTATAACATACTGCTATAATTACAGTTAAACATGTTGTAACTTGGTAACTGAAACAGATATATTTTATTTTGGCAGCTTTAAAGAACTTCTCCCTTATTCAACCCCAGAACAGTTAGACAAACTGGCTGAGGAATTTACAGACTACCAGCTGTTAGACATACCTGAAGCTGTATTGAAAGAGGCAAAATAGAAGAAGATGGTATTACGCAGTATAGAATAGATAGGCTATGGCATAGTATTTCAAACATGAAAACTGTTGAAGGAACAAGTAGGTTTCCTCGTCTAGTGAATGTTGCTAAGCTGGTCCTTGTAATACCACATTCAAATGCAGAGGAAGAGAGAATATTCTCTATGGTCAGGAAAAACCTGTCTCTTATACACATCTAGATGTGTATAAGAGACAGAAATAATATGAAGTATTCTATCATTGAACAGGTTACAGGCTTCAGCATCTAGGCCTAAAAATTTCCAGGGCCCTGGGCAGGCCCTCCACCCACGCCTAAATTGTTTCGTTCCTGTGCAAATCTCCATCCACAGCCAAACTCAAACTTGGCATGTATGCAGAAGTAATTTGCTATGTTTTCATTTTATGATGATTTAATGATAAAAAGTCAATAAATAGGTACTGTCTACTGTTTTATATGAACAAAGCCCATAATGGTTAGGCCTATAACATGACAACTTAACTATGTATGTGTGCACGTCATATAGCTTTTTAATAAGGTTCCATGAAAATGTGTATTAGTAAAATAACATTTTATTCATTTGCTTTGGATGTCATATGTCAGCTCTGCCTCTTTTCGAAGATAAAAAGCAGCCCATACAACTTCAGCTGTAGAAAACTACTGTATTGTTATAATACCGTAAATGCTGGAATATGCGCCGCACCAAACCTGATTTTTTTTCTCAAGCAAGCGCTTCATGCGGCGCTTAATCGAGAGAGTATTTTTAATATATTTCCTTGTGTCTAATGAAATACTTTGAGAAATACCGTAGGGTTTTAAATACAATGTGTATGTTGAAATGAATAAATAACACAATGAAGACAAGCATTTCAGTTATAAACGTTTATTTACGATGACCAAAGACTTATGATAGGCTAATGACACTTCATACAAAAGGGAAATGTTCTTGCTATTTCGATGTTTTCAAATGTATTTTCGAGAGAGGTAACATGACCAAAGACTTATGATAGGCTAATGACGCTTCATACAAAAGGGAAATGTTCTTGCTATTTCGATGTTTTCGAATGTATTTTCGAGAGAGGTAACATGGGAACTGAAGCCTCTAAATGTATTCAAGCATTTACGGGCTAGCGTGTAAAGAAACATGCCATAGTCAGCAAGATCAAGGAGACAATACCAGTAATTTATTACAATTTTAATTATGTATTATTAAAACTAGAAAATACCTGTGTGGTTTTCAACTGTAATCGCCAATGACAAAATCGGCTAACTAAACATAAGAAGTGGATGTATTACGGTCTGGCTAGGTATTCCGGAGATCTAAAGCACTGAGGTTCAGTGAGGTATGCTGTAATTATCAAGATGTAAACAACTCACAAAAAACATGGCCGCAAACTCGTTTTTGGTGGTGAACAGTATCATATACCTAAATTATAAAGGTTTTCAAGTCTAAGCAGACAGGGCTTATGTAAATTTATAATATTGGTAAAATTATTAATGATGGTAGGCTGGTGTGCAAGTACTGCATGTGTTAATTAATACTATCATTGATGGGAAAATCCAGCGATGCGAAATCCAGTGATGTGAAATCAGTGAAGTGAGACTTGTGCGTTTGCTGCCTACAGACCAACTAGGAATGGTTGACCTCGGATGTGTTCGTTTGCATACTTGCCTGAGGGTATTGATAATGATGTGCGATACCGAGGTTAATGGGTTTTTTTAATGTGTCGGCAACTCAGTTAAGTACAAAGGGTTGTTTCTCCTTCTATTTTATACCTCCATGCTTTGACACACTGTATCGTCCTCTTCCATTCCATGTATCTTTTGACGCTTCATACAAAAGGGAAATGTTCTTGCTATTTCGAATGTATTTTCGAATGTATTTATATTTGTATAACTGTATATATTTGTATAACTCCACAGGTGTATCAAATACCATAAGAATCATAATTATGTGATCAGAAACAAAATATGCTTTTCTAATACAGCATTTTTATGTATATTTCTATTAAATGTCTGTTGTTAGAGTAGGGCATCGATATTACACGTTAAGTTGATCAAACTTCTTGATTTTATATGAATTATGTTTTGTCCTAAATTATTTTACACTTGGTTAAACATTTTGGTCACTGGATGTGCATTATCGCTGCTGTTAAATCAAATATTTCTACCTGGCTCTACTATAATAATTAATAACTATATATTAATAATTAAAGCTCATCTCTTCATCTAAATTCTCCTTCCCATTGCCTTTATATTTTTCTGTCTATTTCATTGTATTCTTTTTTGTTTGGCACTTTCTTGGTGCATAGAGACAGTATATATTTGCACCTTACAAACATTGGATTGGATTATTTTGTAAATTTTTTTTTCAATGTGTGTTGTATTATGAAGTAAGTCTGATATATTATATCCTAATTGATTTATTTGTATATTAAATATTTATATCTCTAAATTATAGAGATTTTCTATATTTTTCTTATAGTATTTTTATATTAGCCTACCTATGCATATATTATGTATAATGTATGTGGGCCTCTTTGAGTCAGCTTCACTGTATAAGCCACTCTTGAAATATTGTATAAACCTATAATATGCTTTTTATTACGGTAATGTAGTTTACTTTGATTTTAAAATGAATTACACCTTAGTATGTCAGCTTGGGGCTAACTGAATGGGGACACAGATATATTATTATTTATACCCCATTCCATATGTGTTTGATGTTTCATAGAATAGAAAATGTTCCTTGTTTTTTTCAAAGGTGTTTCACTTTTTGGTCGCTGGATATGCATTATCGAATACTGTTAAATTCAATCTTTCTATTGGATTTTAATGATATTAAAATATTAATAGTTTAATTTGTTGTATTATTCTATGCCACTGACTTCTAATTAATGAAAACAATGCAAAAGAAAAAAAATTATTGAAGAATTTCATCTAGTTCACCAATTTGCTAGCAACACATAATTAACAATGCAATTTTCAGGGGTGTTTGAAAACACTTTCCACAAGCAAATTGGAAATCAGAGAAAAACCACCCAGGACAATAACCACCCAAACAAAAACCACCCAAAATAGAATATACCATTGTTAAAGTGGGGTGGGCAGTGGGGTGGACAATGTTGGGTGGGCCTGTTTTTGTCAGCTTTACAATTGGATAGTTTACACTGTGACTTGCTATTATATGCCTTAAATTCTTTTCAACTGTTTTGACAACATGCTTGTAAGTTAATAATCATTGTAGATTTCAGTAATCACTGTGCTTAAAGTTTTCCCTTTTTAATGATTTTAACACAACAGTTAACTTCAATGCTTTATGGAAATATTTTTAAGTAAAATTCTAATTTATTTAAATTTCTAAGAGGACCTTGTTCCTACTTCCTTAAAACATTATTTTCAATTAAATAGTTCCCTTTATTAATAGTAATAATTTAAATGTAAAAAGTCATATCCATTAATGAATGTAGTTAATAAGATTCTACTATTTTATCTTTATATCTGTTTTGATTTAATTGTAGTAAAACAGAATATTTCTATGATAGTGAATATAATCTAATTAAAACAGAATATTTTACTGAACAGCATATTCATATATTAACAAAATTAAATACTCCATTACTTTAATAGAGTTCACATAAAATATTTACATTTACTTAAATTCTGGTGTTTTATAGTATTTGTCTAATATTTAGTATTGTAAATTTATTTAAGTTTATAAAAGGACTTCTTCTTACTTCCTTTTAAAATAATTTTCAATTAAATAGTTTCCTTTAATAATAATAATTTGAATATAAAAAGTCATTCATTATTTAATGCAGGGTAATAAGCTCTTATGATTATATCTTTTATCTGTTTTGATTGAATTATCACTACTGTGTAAATAATATTTCTTCATGTGTTAATGACAGTTATAAATAGACATGTATGTAGTAGTAAACCAGTTTATTTCTGTAATAGTGAGTACAATTTAATTAAATACTCCATTACAAAGCAAGTACACTTATACTACAATTACATATTTAAATTAAAGATTACAATTATAATACTGCATGTAATCATACAAAACATATTTATTTTAATATAGCGTCTTAAACTAGAACTACATACATTCATCATATTTTATGCAAACTACAATTATAGATATACTGGTACCGTATATTTATATTACTTTTTAACATTTTTCAACCTATTAATATTAGTTGCCATTTAATTCCTTATTTCATTCCATTTTTCCAATCCAATATTTTTTTCCCAATCAAACTCTTTTTCAACAATTGAAAATCTTCAAAATTGTATTATTGCCATTCAGAAATGGATGACAAACACCATGCTAAAATTTAACCCATGTAAAACTGAATTTTTTCGTTTTTCGTATTAAATTCAAACCAAAGCTGCAATTTCCATTTCTGTATAAATAGTAACACAATCGATCTAGTTTCATCCATTTGAAGTCTTGGTGTTTTCCTTGATGAATATACCTTACTTTTGTTCCTCCCATTTCAGCAGTTTGTAAATCTTCTTTCTTTTGTATTCATAACACCTCGCCATCATCATATAAAACCCATCTTTATAAATTTACACTGGCTCAATATA